CTACCAGTAGAAAGTGACATTTGTCTTTTACAATGTAATAAGCTTCTAATAATCCCCATTATGAATAGTTCCCATTGTTTACAACTGAAGATGGGGGTAAAAGCTTATGTTGGTGAAAGACTGTACATTCAGAGATGAAAGCTAAAACTTAGACAAAATTTGATATTTATAATGCTTTTGAGTCCTGAAAAACAAAAACGTATCATATTGACAGCATACAAAAAATACTGAAGAAAAGTTTTTTGGTCATTTAAACTGCCAAGTTTAAATTTAAAATTGCCAGCTAATAAGTTTAAATTTTCATTGGAACATGCTTGTTGAAAAATTGAAGATGAAGACTCATTTCACTTGATCGTTCTTCCTTATTTAAAAAATTGCCTAATTTTTTTTTTTTAGTTTTTTATTTGAAGCATTTTACTTTACTTGTGAAAGCATGCTCCATTGTTCAGAGAGGCCAGCTCCATTGTTCAGAGAGGCCAGCTCCATTGTAGTGAGAGCTTGGGAATGAAGTTGCCTAAATTCATATTTGAACACAGCAGCTTGCTTCCTGAGTGATCTTTGACAACTTAACTTCTCTGTGCCATAGTTTCCTATAAAATAAGAATAAGAGGGTTGCTTCTTCATGACTGTGGTAAGGATGGGTCGAAGTAATGTACAGAATTTACTTGGAAGACTTCCTGGCACAGAGGAAGGGCCATGTACTTAGTTACAGCTATTTTTATACTTTATCTGTTTTTATAATCCAGGTAAATCTTGAGTCTTACTGATTTCATCTCTTAAAAAAATTCTAAATATAAACTCTAAAATGGAAACTAAAACTTCATAGTTGTAGCTAATTAACACATAAAGCTCAACCAAGAAACACACAGTGGAGACCAGTTAGCTGCAGACCCCTGTGATACTTTCTGTCCTGCACAGACTCTACTACCGTCACTTCTGTAATCAAAGGCAAGCTAAGGAATAGAGCTTTAAAGCTTGGCCTCGTCAGATGCTCAGACCATGGCAGAGAAACAGTTTAATATTCACATGTGCATTTTCAAAAAATAGTATTAAAATGAACACTATACATATTTTGTTGTGTGTTTGACATCGTTAACAGAAAAGAAAAGAAAAAAAAACAGGAAAAAAACCCCATGCATTTACAAATAAGGAGGCTATGGCTGAAAATTATTTTTTTTAATTATGTTTAGGATTTAGTGACCAGTTAGGAGAAAAATCATTTCATTGGTGTAATCCCTTGATTGACTAAACTTGTTTTTTTAATTAGGAAGAAGAGTGTGTTCCATTTACCACCTGGGGAAAGTTTTTACATATAACCATTTGTGAAAGTGCTCTATTTCTGGGTAAGAACCTGCCACAGACTTTTAAAATCTAATGTGAAATGCTGAAAAAACTGAACGTCACAATGGGAACTAAGTAGTCTCATAGAGAAAACTTTATCCAGAGAATATCTGAGCCAACGCAGGGTGCCGCTCTGGAGGTTCCACAGTCTCTTCTTCTCACAGTGCTTCCCCCAATTATTTTCACCTCATTTGTTCAAATCAGATCAGTGGTTTAGGGTTCTCCAGGGTCTGATTAAGAGACCAGATGGAGGCACTAAGATTTCTAAAATTTTCCAAGAGTAATAACCAAGGTAAAATGTCTAAGAATAGCCTAACAAAAGGATAGAAGGAACTATCAAAAAATAAAAGTAAAAAGTACTGAAAGATATAAAAGATGCTTTAATCACATGATTCTAGATTAAAAGATCATATCTCCAAAATATCAGAAGTTATAAAATTCATTTGGGGTTTATTGTGAAAAAAATCATATTAGTAATATAATAATTAATAAGATAATGAGAGTTTTACTAGTTCAAGAATAGCCAGATTAGAAAATAGGACAGGAAGTCCAGAAATGGGCTCTGATATCAATAATAATTTAATATAAGAGATGGAAGGCATTACAAATCAGGGAGATAAATAAAGGTTATTCAGTGAATGGAACACTTGTTAGCTACTTGGGGGGAAAAGAAAAGATTGAAATCTTACAATGAACCATATATTGTGACAAATTCCAGAATCATTTAAAAAGTAACACAATTAAAAAAAACTAGAAATAAATATGGATGAGTATACAACCTCTAGATGAGCAATAAGTTTCAGAGGAAAGTATACAAAGATTTCCATGCATCAGAAGAATCCTAATTTTAAACAAAACACCAGAGGAAGTTATTTGTTTACAAATCCAACAAGGGGCTAATTCCTTCAATACATAGAGAGTTCAGATCACTTCAAAGGTAACATCAAAAAATCTCAGGAGTGTAGAAGGCAGAGAAAGAGAACACACATTCACAAAGGAAAAAATAGATGTCACAATCCAATGGTAATTCACTCAGTGCACATCAAAACGAAATAATTTTCCACCTCTCAAGTGACACAGCTCTGTTTATGAGGATGAAATGCCAGTGATCACCAATCTCATGCCTAGGTTACTGGATATTTTTTGTGAAGTATGTTTGATTTACAATGCTGTGTTAATTTCTGGTGTACTCCTCAAGTCTTCTTAGAAAGCAGTCTGGCAGTTGATATCAAGGGTCAAAAATATTCATATGATTTAATCCACTAACTCAGCTTTGAAAAACTTTTAATCAGGAATTATTTCAAAATGGCAGGGAAAGGTCAGTATGGATGCAAGTCACAGACATAATTTTATATGTGTATATATATATATATATATATATAAAATCTTAGCCAAAATATTCTTCCAAACCTTCACAATGTAGAATAGTATGCAGCCATGAAAAAGTGTGTCCATGAAAATACTTTGTGACATGTCCAAGTGTTATTCTTAAGATAGACTTGAGAAAAAATAATATAAAAAAAGATTTGCAATATAC